TGTGAAAATTGACAGAGTATATATTGGATCTTGCACTGGTGGAAAAACAGAGGATTTTATGGCTGCAGCCAAAGTTTTCCTTGCTTCAGTAAGAAATGCTTTTATTTCTAAATATATTTCCTTTTGGTTGTATAAGATTACTAGTCTAAATAATTTTCTGTTTTTAAATTGGGACTGGCCTCCGTGCTCCGAAAGGGCAATAGGCCAATTTTTTTTTTAACAACACAAAATTGGCTTAAGAAAAGATTTAGCCCACCTTAAAAGTTCATGTTGTCTAACAATAATTAGCACGCCCTAACATTGAGTTTTAGTTCTGCTCCTAATGATGATAGTGTTCAATGTTATCTAGTGCTTCAAAAGGCACTCAGTTCTAATCTTGAGGAGTTGATCAATTGGTCAGGCCTTGGGTTTCCTCCCCAATGGTCACCAGTTCGAATCCCCTCAAGGCCACTAAGGTGAGTACCTAGCCGTAAACTTCAGGGCCCCGTGGAATTAGTCGAGGTGCGCGCAAGCTGGCCCGGACATCCACGGTTATAAAAAAAAAAAATGGCACTCGGTTCCCAAAAAAGAAAAAAAAATCTGGGTTTGGTTTTCTGTATATGCTGAACGTAAACTGTTTGACATCTATTCGACTCACTTGTCTGAGACTGAATATTGTGTTTGAGAAGGGGTACTTCTCCGTTTTAGAAGAGTCCTAGTAACATAAGATATTTTTCTTTCCTTCTTGACAAATGATAATGTACCAACTTGGTATGAACTTTATTTCGTCTTTCATTTTGATTTTTTTAAGCTAAAGCTTCAGTACAAAATATGCAGGGGAAAAAGGTCAAAGTTCCAACATTCCTTGTTCCTGCTACGCAAAAGGTATGACCTAGTCCCTATACTGCTAAATTTATGTTCCGTTATTTGTAAAATATTGTAAATTAAATCAAAGAATGGATCCTTATAATGTGACTTGATGTATGACTATTTCTTAGGTCTGGATAGACATATATAGCCTCCCAGTCCCAGGATCGGGTGGTAAAACTTGCTCGCAGATATTTGAAGAAGCTGGATGTGACACACCTGCAAGTCCAAGTTGTGGTGCTTGTTTGGGTGGACCCCGAGACACGTACGCACGCATGAATGAACCTCAGGCAAGTTATTTGTATTTTTATTTGTTCCTTAAACAATCATATACTAATATGATTAAATCTCTAAATGTCATCATTTCCATATTCACGTGCTGCTGTTTTATGTACTGCAGTATATGGGATAAGGGTGTCCTTTTTTCTTTAATTTCATGTGGTTATCCAAATTTGTGTGATTGGAGATAAATTATCACGGTTCTACATGAGTATCATTGTTCTTTTCTTATAGTATATCATTATTCTTTTCCTATAGTAAGACATCACTCGACTAATGTGCTGTTTCATAATCTTCAGGTCTGTGTCTCAACGACAAATAGAAACTTCCCTGGTCGTATGGGCCATAAAGAAGGACAGATTTATCTAGCTTCTCCATATACAGCTGCAGCATCGTCATTGACTGGTTTTGTGACTGATCCGAGAGAGTTTTTGCTGTAAGGTCCTCAATTAATGCATTTCAGGATTATGTACATTTTATTTGCCATAACGATTTCTCGAGCTGAAGCATCTCGGTTTTCAATCGTAGCATGTTGTGATGCTTTAGAAATTTGTTGCTATGCTTTGTGAGATTGCTCAACCCACGTTCGAGTAATTTAGACAGAAACAAATTTCACTCCTTTAGTACTGTGTTGTAATGTGTAATAATACTGCATTGAGAATGTCTGTGGAACGATTCTTGAGGCCACGGGTGTTAATTTCTAAATAACGAGCATTCATTAAGTCCTTGTTTGGTAGAAATTAAATTTCAGATTTTAATCTAAGTCAAAGTCAATAATTAGCCTTCGTTTGATGGGAATTAAAATTAGATTTTTAGTAGATTTTGATAAAAAAAAAATGATGAAATGTGTTGTTGAAAAGTTGTGGGACTTATGAAATATGTGGTTAAAATTAATAGTTGACTTTAACTTAGATTAAAATATGGATTTTAATCCATTCCAAATGGAAGTTTCATATTAATCACATATTTCATTGAATCCACAATTTTTTGATCCCACATTTCATTAATATTTGTCAAAATCTAATAAAATTTTGATTTTAATAGACACAAAGGAGGCTTATTCTAAGAAGTCATGGAGGATATTTTCAATAGCTATTAAAAGAGCTTTTCTGAGTTTAAATGCCCTGATGGTTTATCCTCTCTTTATTCCCACTGAGTTGTGTCTTAAAAAAAAATTTGTCTTCAGCCATTTTGTCTCCAATTGTGGGAGAAAATTGGGATTTATGTCGAGTTATATTGCAAATTGAGTGGAAATTAAGCTCTGGCATCAGAAATTGCTTGCTGTTACTATGATTTAATGTTAATGTTAAGTATATAAATTAAATTATTCAATTTCAAAAAAAGGAAATACTAAACAATTGAGACACTAAAAGAATTAGACAAAACTACATTACATTCCTTCTCTAGTATGAATAATAGTTTTTCAATATGGACAAAATGAAATCATTACTAAAGCCCCAACACTTCAAATATAAACGCATTAAAAAGATTACACATTATTATTTAGACAAAATCGTAGCGGTGGTACTTAACCTTTTCAATTTTTACAAATTTTATTGTAACATTCAATTTGTGTTAACGGAGGTCCCTAATCTTTTAAAAATATGTATATGGAGTTCGAATGGATGGAATCCGTTCACTTTTTCGTTAGTTGACCAATAAAATGACGTTGACCACATTATTAATTATTTTT